AATTGTTGTACTCCAGAGGACAGATTAAAACAAAAACAAAAAACCTCCTTGGTTCAGGTATCCCATATTTTCATAAACAGGATGTAAACCTGAAGTATACCTAAATTTTTTCCGATCTGTTCTTATTATAACACACTTTTAAGTACCTAAAAGTGCTGTACACACCTCAACCATTTGACTCTAGTAAAACATATCTTGAAAAAAATCTAATCTAACCTAAATTGATCAAACTTCTATAGGAAATACAGAGGACAGAAAGCATGTTAAGCAACACCATGGGAATGAAATCAGCAAAATCCAGATTGAGGGAACCTCTCTACAGGGTAAACAACCTGGTTTTTTCAACAAATAAACTGCCGGGGTAAGAGGTGAGAGAGATGGAGGGTGTATCTGTAGACTAAAATAGCCTTAAAAGACATATCAACTGTTTGTCATGGGAACTTTATATAGATCTTGCTTAAATAAACTGAAAATTAAAGATATAACATTTGACATTTATGAGACAACTGGAAATTTGAACACCAAACTTTTTATATAAAGGAATTATCATTAATTTCTTTATACTTTAGATGTACTAATGGTATTGTGATTAAGTGTCCTTATCTTTTAGAGATAATGTGAAAAATCAGATAAAATGGAAAAATACACAAATAAATAAAAACAATCTATAGTTCTTGCTACACAGTCTCATGTGTAACCTGGATTTTGCATTATAGCAAACAGCTTTAAGACCTAGTTTAGGATGTAAGTCTGAAATTTAGACAATTATAGCTAGATGCCAAGTATGACTGGAATAACTGATGTTACTTGGTAATATGTAAAACATGAACTTTTAAAAAGAAGACAAATCCTAGGGGCTTCACTGGTGGTGCAGTGGTTGAGAGTCTGCCTGCCGATGCACGGGACACGGGTTCGTGCCTTGGTCCGGGAAGATCCCACATGCGGCGGAGCGGCTGGGCCTGTGAGCCATGCCGCTGAGCCTGCGCGTCTGGAGCCTGTGCTCCGCAGCGGGAGAGGCCGCAGCAGTGAGGGGCCCGCGTACCGCAAAAAGAAAAAAAGAAGACAAATCCTAATTAGACTGACAACTCCAAATACTTTCCAGTTTTATGCTATCCCAAGCCTGTTCACATCATTTTCTCAGTTACCCAGGCTCCCTGGAAATCCTATTTGACCCTTCCTTCTTCTTCATCCCACCTCACCCAGTCAGCTGTCCACCTATGTGGACTTGTTTTCTTGCAATTCCTCTCCCAGCCACCCCCTTCTCTGCTCTATACACTTGTTCTGGTCTTAAGTACCTCTGGTATAGGCACCAACCCCTGCCTTCCTGAATTCACCTTATGGACTGGTTTCTCTAAAGCACAGCTCTTACTTCGTCCCTCCTTTGTTCAAATTTCTGTGTTTTCCAGCTGTAAGACAAAGCCCAAACTACAGACTGAAGGCTGTATGTCAAGGACCTCCATGATATATCTAGTTTCAGCTTAACTTTACAATCATATTTCCTATCACAATTCAATCTAACTAAACTATTTTATATCTTTAGCCTTTCCTCCAAGCTACAAATTGTAACAGATGCCTATCTGAAAACTCTTGGATGTCTTAAAAACACTGTAAACTCTGTTCTACCAAAACTGAACTCATTGTTATTCATCCAAAATCTAGCCCAGGTAATCCCTATATCATATAAGCCAGATACCTAGGAGTCATCCTGAGCACCTCCCTCTTCCTCCCCCCTATTTCAAATCTATTGCCAAGTGCTGTATTTCCTAAATTTATTCTAAATTTCTCCCCATCTCTTTTACTACATACTTCCTAATACTCATATTTCTAAGGTCTCCCTCCAACCTGTTCTCCATTCTTAAGTCTGAATAACCTCTAAAAAATGGAAAAATATCACATCACCAATCCCCACACTCCTAACCCCCTTTTGCTTACAATTTAAAATGGCTTCCTTTTGTTTGGCCCCAGTCCACCTCTTCCATCTTTCTCAAACGTGCCTCACTTTTGCTGTCTATGCTCCAGCCACATTGATTATTTTCTGTCCCTCATACTGATCAGGTTCCTTCCTGGAAGGCTCTTCTCTCTCTCTGGCCTATTTATCCTTATCATTCAGGTCTCAGTTCATGCATTATTTCCTCAGAGAAAGCCTTCCCTGACCTCCCTACTTAGTTCAAATTCTCCATTACTGACATTCAGAGCATCATGTATCCATCCTTCGTAGGACTTAACACAAATGCAATTTTACAACTGTGTGACTATTTGATTAATACCCACTTCCCCGCACTAGATTGTAAGTGCCATATGGCAAGGCATCCATAAGAGTCTGTATCTGTTTTTATTCACCATTGCATCTGCAAAACTGAGCATAGTGCCTAACATTCATATTTTTTTAAATAAAAATATATGCTGTACAAACCCTCTGCTTTCCATTGCCTTGATTTTGTTCAGGGTACTTCCTCTTAGTAAAATGTTCACATTCTCCCCATCTTCAAAGTTCAGCTCAAATACAATCTCAACCCCAAACCTTCTACAATCATCCACTCAACTTGTAAATCTCTTCCAGTAAACTTCGAGTATATATATATATTTATATCTCTAACAGTTAGCAACAATTTCTACCATTTCTAACTAATAACCACCAGTTATTTCTATACATTTTTTTCTCCTCTACTAGACTGAGGACGTCCCTACTAGGTTATATGACTCCTTCTGAATTAATCTTTTATCTTCAAGATATTCAAGAAAAGTCCTGCAATATCTGAATGTACATGTGATTAGTACAGGTCTATAATACCTATAGTGCAAGTAGTACAAAGGCATACAAAGTATTAAAAACTTATGAAACCTAAAATATCTCTGGAAGGATACAGAAGAAATAGGTAAAATAGGTTGCCTCCAACCTGGATGGCGGTGGTATAAGGACAAAAGGAAGACATTTTGCTTTACATCACTTTGCTTCTTTTGAAGCATGTATTCTTCACATGAATACATTATCTATTACATATTATTATATGAATCTTGAATCATGTGAACATGACTATTACAGACCAATTACAAAAATGTCTTAATTTAAAATAAGTAAAAACAATAAACTTTATGGAAAAGTAAAAAATAAGACTCATGAAATCTACACGTTTATCAGGCACAGTAAGACAAAACTGCAATCTACTGCACTCTACTATATGAATTACAACTAGTATCCATTGAGAATCTACCATGTACAAATACTGTCCTCGCAAATTAATATTATTTCATTTAATAGAAAAACAACTTCACAGCTGACATATTAAAAAGCGATATTCCTTATCTTATTAAACTAAAACCTGTTTTATTACAGAAGAATACATTTTACATCTATTTCACATGGAAAAAAAATTTACTCCTTATTCTGGCCCCACTGGCAGTCTAGCATTAAAAAGGTATGTTTTCCCTTTTTAGTTGTTAATGTATTTTTATGTTTACCATATTCTAGGTCAGACTTCATCCTGTCTCATATATGCTCTTGGTGACTGCTATTCTGAAGAGTTGTTTCCATCCAAACTGAACCCAAGTTTAAGGCCTTTTATTTACATTGCTTGAAGAATCCTCTCAGTCCTACCATTATCTGCTACTTGACATTTTTACTTGCATATGAAAGCAAGACTAATCACAAGAATCTGGCAGGGGAAAAAAGGCAGCAAAAATGGAATCAGCATGTTAGATGACAAATAGAACATAAGAGACACAACACCAAGGTGGAACTACGAAAAAGGTGGCAAGGAAGTAGCTAATAATAGTGGGACATGGCAGTATTATGACTGTTAAGTGGTGCCGAAGGGAGGATGTTCTATTAAAGCCTCTATGTTGAAAGTCAGCACGATGCCTTGGACCACACTCATTTATAAGCCTGTAACATAGTGGAGGGAATTAAAGAGTGCTTGGTCAAAAATAAAGAAAAGATAGTTATAAATCAGAGCTTGGAAAAGGTGCGGTGAAAGCAAAGATCTGAGAAACTAAGCCGATGTTAAGGCAGCCAAGGTGATTTAATAAAGGGCAGGGAGAAAAATAGGATGAGTATTGAAACCTACAACAATGAGGTGGTCTGTTTTTAAGGGTAAAGACTGTGGAAAGTAGAATGAGTGACGGAAACCAGGAATGGGAAACCACCTGGCCCTTCAAAAAGTGTATCGCGGAAGTGGGGTGGGTTAAGAAGCAGAACTTCAACCCAAAGAGAAGAGGATCTCCATGGCGCGGGGAGGTAAGGTAAGGTATTGACTGGAGCGGTGGAAAGGCGGGATAGTGAGGCGAGACTTCCGACTCAAAAGCTTAGCTGAGAAGCACTGACAGCGGCCCGGACAAGCGGGACCGGGGGCAGCGGCGTGGCGCGGGGCTCCCTCACCTTGGCCTTGTAGCTCGGCAGGTTGCAGAGGATGTCCGTGCGCAAAGCCTCCTCTGCCAAGTTGCGGGCGCACAGGCTTCGCCACACCTCGCTGTTCTCATCGCCGTGCAGGCAGCGGTACCAGTGCTTGCACACCAGGGCGCAGCTCCGCAGCTCGGACAGCTCCAGGTAGGAGAACACCAACTCCAGCACCCGGCTGGGCAGCCGGCCCCCGGCCCCGGCGGCCCCGGAGCCGGCGCCCGCGCCGCCGCCACCGCTACAGCCAGCGCCTCCCGAGGCTGCCCCAGCCCCCGGGGCCGGCGCCGCCATCGCCTCAACAGCCGGCCCGAGGGCCGCTGCCGCCGCCGCCGCTTCCCCCCGTCTCTGCTCCGGAGGCCAAGCCTCTCCTTGAGACAGGAGCAGTTCGCTCACCGCCCCTTTCACAGACTACCGTCCGGCCCCTCCACCACTCCCGCCCCTGCCCGGGGGCGTCCGCCACGCGCCCCGCCTCACTGAGGGCAGACGCACCGGCCGCACGGGCGTCCCCCGCCCCTCCCCCGCGGCTCAGCGCGGGCGCCGGAACGGCCCGACTCGCACGGCCTCCCGGCGGCGCGCCCGTGCCTCCGCCATGCGGGTTGAGGGCACGAAGCAAGGGCGCACGCCCAGCTCGCGCGGTTCCTCTCGGCCCCGGATGTGACTGTTTGGCTGAGGCGCCTCCCCCCACTACGCTAGATGGGATTGGGCGCCCACGGGTGAGGTCATCACCAGGCGCCTAGGAGAGAAGCTGGAAGCGCAGGTATGAGGCTGTCGCCGGTGGGTTCCGGGCTATCATCCGGTGCCTTTTCTCTTTTTTAATCTAGTGGTTTCGCGTCGGCTTTTCTGGACCACTTTTCCTATAAGTTTTCGCTGAGTCATTTGGGTCCCTGCTTCACCTTTCCAATCTAACGCATGAAATTTCCCTCTCCTTATTAGTCAGTCCTTCGGCAGGTGAGGTCGTGTTTTTCTGGTCAGGCCCTCTTGTTCTCTCTTAGTATCAGTGCTTATCAGAACGTGTGTCCCAGCGTATATACAGCATGTGAGGTCGCCACATTTGAACACCTTCCCCACCCCCCCCACCCCCCAGTGTTTGGATAACCTTAAAGTGCCGTTTAAGTGCTTATTAAGTGCTACATTCTTTTGGACAAAATGTGGCTTTTCCTAGTCTTTCCTACTAACTCACGATTGGTAGGCGAATTAAAGCAGTGTGTTTTTAACTAATGAGACATTCCAATAGGGAGAATGACATGGAGGCTATAATTATAGAAGGCTTCTTGGAAGGGAAAGTTTCAGCATTATTTAGTCATATTGCGTTTTCCTAGGTGGCCAGAACGTTTTCTGACAGCCTTTAAAGAATGCTTGGTACGAGAAAATAATATCTATCATGTAAGCCAGGCAACCTACTGAGGCCCTTTACAGGGGTGTTTATATAACTCTCTAAACAACTATGAGATAATTATTATAATAATAGGTTTCACAGATTCCTTTAGTAGTCAATTCCACTGTCTTGCCTTTACGTAGTAAGGAATCTTTCCAAAAGCTCCCTTGCTGTGTATAGTCAATTTCTTGTTCTCCAGTAAAAACAAAAGAACAGCACCTACCATCTCTACTCTCTGATGGGTGGTGTTTGGTTATTACTTGCCAGTCCCTTCTTCCCAGATGTTTTTTCCTCCAAGCTTAGTAACCCAGATTCTTTTCATTCTTACTAGTGCCAGTACCCAGCCCTTCAGCCACTTCGGTTGCTGTCTAGCTTCTCCACATCGAGACCAACTTTGGAAAACTCAAACATGTCAAGAAAAGTTGACCTATACTTATTACAGTGATAGTGACTATCACATTATTTAGATCTCAGGCTTCGGAGTTTTATTTATTATTCATTTTTCAGCTTTCAGCCATCAAAGGAAGACGGTCCGAGATTTGTCTGGAAAGGCACTGAAGTTTCTTTTACAGCTTCAAGGATAAGTAGAGTCAGTCCATCCAAGAAGGGAACAAAGAACAGACAGAATGAATAGCTTTAAAGGCACAGACACTTGAAAAGGACAAATGGATACATGGATGTATGACAGGAGTAAGTGTTTAGAGTAGAGAGCATTCAGTTATTAAAGACATTGCCCTCTATCCTGTCTGCCATGGTGTGAGGTAGAGCCTTTGAAGGATCTGATGAAATAATTCTGGCACATCTTGTCCACTCAGGTGACTTTTTGAGGCAAAGTACCCCCCAAGTGGCCCAGGTAGGATTTCAAAGTAGGAAAAGATTTCCTTTATCACTACCTCCTTTTCTTTCTTGCCTGCTCATCACCCTCCTGATCATGTCCCCTCCGCCATGTTCAGTACCCTTTTTCTGCCCTCTCACTGTTTAGAACTTCCGTCTTTGCACTGCACCCTTTATAAAAATGTTCTCATAGTACCCCACCTTCCTCGCCCCCTCTCACTCCATGATCTCATTAGGTGTAAGAAGGAAGGAATCCAGTATCTAATTAAACTAATTCACACTGGGATATGATTAATTACCGTGCTTGACCCTTTAGTCATCTACCTAAGAGAAAAGCTAGTTGACTTGATACCTGAGTGTGGAGATAGTGGCACTTAGCTATTTCCAGGTAGGCTTTCCAGTCCCAGTAAAAGGAAAAACAAGAAACAGTGGCTTGCCAACTCATTTCTGAAAGATTATTTTGATTTAACCCATATGTAGTTAATTTTTCCCGCTACCTCGTACCGCAGCAGTCTGATTGTTTAACACTTTTTGATGGTGATCTTCGAATGTGTTTCAAATAATAACAAATAATTTTAATTTTGTAGACTAAGTAAACAGGTGATCTGGGGGGCTCTCGTTGAATCCCTGATCAATACTCTGCATGATAAAATTAAAAGCCTCAGAATGTATGGATTTCTGGGGCTTTCCCAACTCTTTTTCCTAACGTTCCACATAATAGGTCTCTATTTTAATTTTTCTGACTAGCTAGGTGATCGGTGAATATCATCCATGTGGTGTAGAGATTAGAAGTTTAATTTGCTCTTTACTCTGGTGCATAGAGGTTAAGGTAGAGCTGACCTTGGACTTGTGAGAGTAATAGTCCAAGAGTTACTACTGCTTCCATTATGGAAAAATTTACAGGAACTGTGGTGTTGTCTATAATAGTCTCTTTAAATACAAAATTCATTTATTGCCTAACTTCTCACACTTTGGGGTGGAGTTTAACCAAATGTATCTTTAAAATTGAGTTAATCTTTTCTGGAAAAGAGTTATATTAGGAAGAAAACCTGCTAAAACTTTTGTCTGCTAGTCAGCATTTACTTAGGTCCCTTGTGAGTAGATTAGTGATGGAGAAATAGAAGTACTAGAAACCCTGCCTCATTCTTGTCTTAGCAAAAACCTAATATATCCCAACAGGGATCCAAAACCTATATGGACACAAAATCCTAAAGCTGTAGGGGGCAGACTTCTGGACTTTAAAGTTAATTCACTGTAGAAAAATTAAAACTCTGACTTAGGAAATAAGTGGTCAATACCCTAAAGATTCATGACAGAGTTAAATAAAACTATTTGTAACTTTTCAGTGATTAATTCAAATTTCATATTTTAAGGTAGGATATTGTATTTATCATATAAGTCAATAGTCACCACAAATGACAGTTTCTAAGCCTAAATAATATTAATACCTTTCATTTTAAATTGTGTTAAGTGTCCTTTTTCCTTGGTTTATCTGGAACATTTGGCAAAAGTCTTTGTTATTTAACTATTTCAGTACCTGTTGGCAAAAATCAAACCACCAGAGTTCCCTGTCTTTATCTCCCTTTGAGTTATTTCCTCTCCAAACCTCTCCTTTAAAACTTGTTTCAGTCTCTATTTAATTAGTTTCCTCTGTTTACTAATTGAGTGCTTCTGCTGAAATTTAAAAATGTATCTTTTTGTCTTTTTTCCATTTTATCTGTATGAAAATTGCTGATTTTGTGATCTTGTTTCTGTTACTTCGATTACTATTAGATTGGTGATTTTTTGCAGTCTAGTTAGTGATTTTGTATGTGTGTGTGGCTAAAAGTGGAGGAAATAACCTTTGTGTTGGGAATAGAAATTTTAGGCAGATCACCAGATTATTTTAAAATTATTTTCAAAACAATTTTAGGAAATTTACCTCTGTACAATTGAACTAAATTCAGGTATTGTATCTGAAAATAGTAAAGCAACTATGGCAGTTTCTTACTAGATAAATTCTCCCTTGTCTTGTGGAATGAAAAATTAAATTTATCTAGATAGATTTGTTTGCTTCCTTTTGACCACTTAGAGTTGTAGAAATTGCCCCTATTTCCTTTTTCGCTTTGCACAGGAGGTAGTTACGAGAGGGGGTAGTATTATGTGGCAGTTACAATTATAGGTACAGGCTGCCTAGCGTTCAGGAAACTAAATTTTGCACATAAGTACTACTGTTATATAAGTTCAAGTAGGTGATAATGTGATTAAAAATATGTGAATATATTTAGAAGCAGTAATGAATTATTAGCAGCTTTCTAATAATCGTTTTCTGCACTTTCAAAGAATACTAACAAGTTAAACCTGTTGTCAAGTAGAATTGTTGGAAAAAGGTCTTCATTGTTTAGAAGTTTAGGATCCCTTTATATTAGATCCCAAGTACAAATCCTAAGAGCCAGGTGACTTTGGGAAAATTATTTAACATTTCTGAGACTCAGTTTTATTACCTGTAAAATGGAATAATATTTACCAATCAGAAGTGTTGTTTTGAGAATAAAATTAAATAATGTACTGAATTAGTCTCCGATGGTAAGACCCAAGGGTTTGCATTTTTAACCAGTTCCCCTGATGATTACTGGTGTAGTACAGGTTCTCAAATTCTAGCATACATCAGAATCACCTGGAGGGCTTGTTAAAACACATTGCTGGGGGCTTCTCTGGTGGCGCAGTGGTTGAGAGTCCTCCTGCCGTTGCAGGGGACACGGGTTCGTGCCCCGGTCCGGGAAGATCCCACATGCCGTGGAGCGGCTGGGTGCGTTAGCCATGGCCGCTGAGCCTGTGCGTCCGGAACCTGTGCTCCGCAACGGGAGAGGCCGCAGCAGTGAGGGGCCCGCGTACTGCAAAAACAAAACAAAACGAAACAAAACAAAAAGCACATTGCTGGGTGCCAACCCCAGAGTTTTGATTCAGTGGGTCTAGAGTGGGGTCCAACAATTTATATTTCTAACAAGTTCCTAGGTGGTGCTAATGCTCCTGGAGACTACACTTTGAGGACCATTTGTGTAGTATATATGATGCCACTTTGACTAGCCTAATAAAAGTAAGAAAAGTGACAGTGGTAATATTTGTTGAGCCCTCATTATGTACCAGGCACTGTTATATGTGCTTGACATTTATTATGTCATTTAATCCGATCTGATCCTGTGAAATGGATGTTATTATTACCCCCATTTTATCGAGAATGAAAGTGAATTATAGAGAGATTCAGTAATGTGCCCAAAGTTGCCCAGCTGATAGGTAATAGAGCTATTCAAACCCAGAGAGTCTAGTTCCAGGGCTCATTCTCTATAAACATTATTCAGATAAAGGATATAACCTGATGATTGTGCAGCCCTTTCTTCAAAAGGATTTTTCTTAATTTAAAATAAATATATTTATTGTTTATTCTTATGTGAGCCTCACATCAAAGGCTGGAGGACCAGGCTTACCTGTGCCCCTGATTGCAAGGAAAGCCCATGTAGGCATGTGCCAGCCAGGTGCACCACAATCTTGTGTTCAACTAGGCTTTGTAGGCTTGATCTTCAAATGTCTTTTTTTATTGATTGAGTTTTTTCGATGTCTTTTAATATTTAAATGAAATACTGCTTATTGAATATGTCTCTCGTGAAGTTCTCAGATAAAACACGAGATTATAATTTTTCCCCCTTCTTCACAGAGTCACCTGAGCCATTATGGCAGTCAAGTGGACTGGTGGACATTTTTCTCCTGTTCTCTGCCTGAATGCAAGTCAAGAAGGGCTAGTGGCTTCTGGAGCAGAAGGTGGAGATCTCATGGTTTGGGGTGAAGATGGGACTCCATTAGGACACACACGCTTCCAAGGGGCAGACGATGTTACCAGTGTCTTATTCGCTCCCTCCTGCCCCACCAAGCTCTATGCCTCGCATGGAGAAACCATTAGCATACTGGATGTCAGGTCTCTCAAAGGATCCTTGGACGATTTTCATGCGAATGAAGAAGAAATCAACTGTGTTTCACTGAATGAAACTGAAAACCTTCTGGCTTCTGCTGATGACTCCGGAACAATCAAAATCCTAGACTTGGAAAATAAGAAAGTTAGCAGATCACTGAAGAGACATTCCAATATCTGTTCTTCTGTAGCTTTTCGGCCTCAAAGACCTCAGAGCCTGGTGTCATGTGGACTGGATATGCAGGTGATGTCTTGCAGAGAGTACTTGGGTAATTTCTAGATGCAATTTGGTAACAGAATCAAATTATTAATTGGGCTAAATATATCTTTCCATTTTCTATTCTCTACTAACATGTCTTATGTATTTTATGAACCATAAGCTTTACTTCTACTGCATGTTTAATGCTAACTTGACAAAGTTTAGTAGATTTGATTCACAGAGTAATTATTAATCTTTTACTGTTCCTTTCTCTATGCTTTAAGACATTCCTAAAACATGAGAATTCAAATATTTGATTCTAAACATCTGTTTAAACAAAGTCATGCTAAAGTCAGAGTTTATCACCCACTCTCTACAAAGTCTGTTGTTTAAAAAAACAAAAGTTGGAGGGCCTGGATCTATTATTGTTTTTACTCTAAAAATCACTGGAGTGAGAATAGTCATGGCTTCTCTTTGGTGAGCATTTACTACTTCCCACTGCTTTACATTTACTACTTCCCACTGCTTTATTGTTTAGGGGCTCCCCCAGCACTGTTCTAGGCATTTAATCTACATTCCCAACTATATATTAGTATCTTCTAAGACTTGTGGCCACTTCTTGGCCAGTGGTCTTTACCATTCCCTCCTCTACCCTCCACACCTCCTTATAATTTAGAAATAATGAGGCTAATTTTAGTTGTTGTCACTATGACTGCCAGCCCCTCCCCCGAAACTATTGGCATTTAGTAGGAAGAATTGGTAGTTGTCCTGCAGTGCTGGGGCAGCCCCTAAACAATAAAGAATTGTCCGACCAAAAATTTGTAGTGCCTCTATTGAGAATCATTTATACCTACAAGGCTTAGTGACCCCATAACCTCTAAACTCCTTTTCTCCTAGGTCTTGTCCAAAACTTTAATAAACCTCCTACATTTTCTGTCCTAGTGGAGATAATTGCTTACTTGGTTGGGCAGAAAGACCTACACAACCAGTCAGATATCTGTTTTAAGTAGGCAGATTGTACAGTGTCTCTTTGACTAGTCATTCTTTCATCCTTAAGCTATACCAGTTTTCAATCACTGGTTCATTAACTACTAGGCATGGCAATAAACAATTAGGTGTGCAGCAATCACAGATTAGATAAGAAGCAGGCACCCAGAATTTACCATTTTACCTCCAGTTCTAGATGAGAATGTTTAGTGGCAGGCAGCTGCTAGAGAACAGGATAGGAAATAAATGTTTTGTGAGAAGAAGGCTTAGGTAATTTCTTTTCTTTTTTTTTTCTTTTTTTTTGGTAATTGCATTTTGATTTGACTGTCAAGAATTGCTAAAAATACACTGTAGATTAACTTCTGCATTGGGTTGTGATGTAACAACAGTGGCTAAGATAATACAGCCAGGCTTTTAAAAAATTACTTCTTTAACTGAAGTTGAAACTATAATTTCTTCCAATTTATCAGTATTTCTTAAAACCTGGTTATCTGGTATTTTTCTAAACCTTAAGAATAGCTAGTCTATGGGGGAGTCCAAGAATGTAGGCATAATAGTGGAAGGGAGTTCTTAACAGATTAATGATGAGTTATTTCTCTCTGAACAAGTGTGTTTTATCTCAAGGCAGGAATTGAATTATTGCCACATAAAATAGATGGGTTCAACACACCTATCTTTGTTATTATACAAGTTATAAAAATTATACCCTTTGATTTAGATAGGTTTAAATAGGCAGTGCGGGCTTCCTTGGTGGTACAGTGGTTAAGAATCCGCCTGCCAATGCAGGGGACATGGGTTTGAGCCCTGGTCCAGGAAGATCCCACATGCCATGGAACAACTAAGCACATGCGCCACAACTGCTGAACCTGCGCTCTAGAGCCCAAGAGCCACAACTACTGAGCCCGTGTGCCTAGAGCCTGTGCTCTGCAAGAAGAGAAGCCACTGCAATGAGAAGCCCACGCACTGCAACGAAGAGCAGCCCCCACTCACCGCAACTAGAGAAAACCCGTGTGCAGCAACAAAGACCCAATGCAGCCATAAATAAATAAATAAAATTTTATAAATAAAAAATAAAATTAAATAGGCAATGCTTACTGAAAGAGGCAGGGACCTTAAGAATGAAGTATGATTTATTAAGACACTTGAGACTGCTTAATCTTTTATTAAATAGGCCCAAAATAATAGTCATAATATATGTATAAGGTATAAAAAATAACATTAAACAAATACATGTGTACCACCACTCAAATATAGTTTTTTCTTATAAGGACCTTTGGAAATTTGAAGCCATCATGAATTTCTGTAGCATACAGATTGGTTTTCTTTCTCTCTCATTTCCACATTTGAAAATAAATGGTTCAAAGATTTGTTCTTTCTGGAGTTTGAAAGATCTCTAGTACAGAACTTAAGGACTGGGACAGTAGAGGAGCCTTTTTTTTTACCCCCTTGAAAATGAATCTTTTATGTGGAAAGGAATGTTTTTGTAGGAGAAATTTTTGAGCAGGGTCACTTTGATATGCTTGCATTCACTTCTGAACATTTGCCAGTTGTCCACTTTCTCTCCCTTTGACGTTTTATTGGACCTTAAGCCCTGAACACTTGTATACTTTTCCTTCAAATCAATTTTCTTTAATATTCTTTTCCTTACCTCTCTTGCTTAGGGTGATACTGCTTGATCAGGTGGTTGAGAAATTGTGAGATACCTTGGACTCTTGGGCAGTTGGGAAGAGTAAGGAAGTACAAAGGGAATGTCCAGGCAGGAACAATTTGGGAATCTTCAACACTTGGAAATGACTGCTGGGTTGGTACAATTTGAAATGGCTATTAACACGTTTAGATGATTTAAGTAAATACAAAAATGTTTAAGCTGCTGAAAACACTTTGGGTGTAGTTCATGTTTGGATGTCTTAGGGCAGAAAATATAATCCAGGCATTATGGGGCTATGTGAAAAAGAATTTGGGGATACCTGCCATACAGTTAAGCTAGTATATTTTGGAATGTCCATTTTCCTTGTGTTCAGGTTTTTTATAGAGATTGTTGCCATGTCAAGTTTTTTTTTTTTTTTTTGGCTGCATTGGGGCTTCGTTGCTGCACACGGGCTTTCCCTAGTTGCAGTGAGTAGGGGCTACTGTTGGTTGCAGTGTGCGGGGCTTCTCATTGTGGTTGCTTCTCTTGTTGCGGAGCGCGGGCTACAGTAGTCGTGGCGCATAGACTCTAGAGTGCAGGCTCAGTAGTTGTGGTGCACGGGCTTAGTTGTTCCGTGGCATGTGGGATCTTCCCGGAACAGGGATCAAACCCACATCCCCTGCATTGGCAGGTGGATTCTTAACCACTGTGCCACTAGGGAATTCCCTCAAGTTTTATTACTCATTCATTTTTGTTATATTTTCTTATTTTTAAAATTTTACTTTATTTCAATTTATTAGTATTTTGGCTTCACCCATATGTATAACAATTGGTGGCCTCTTGGTATAATGTTATAAATCCAATCCAAAGAGATTTTCAGTGTTTTCCCTAGTATAAGCAGAATATAAGTGTTACTAGATGTTGCTTCTTTTGAAAGTAGGCCGAGTTAAAGGAAGTTACCTTGAATAGAAAACCAAATCCTTAATATAATCAACAGTAGTAATCTTGTCAATTCAGATCTGTGCTTTTGACTAAAGAAGGTCATGCTTATCCTAGTGTCCATTTTAAATTGTGAGTAATAATTCAGGGATAGTACTAGGGGGTAAAATACAGCTGTCTGTTTTCTCTGAAAGTATGAAGAATATTTTCTTTTTCAAATTGGTTGCTACGGGAAGAAAATTGCTAGATAATAGAGTAAAATCAGTTCACAGAGTTTATTGTTTTGTTTTAATCAGTTTTTAATTAGCATTTAATTTAAATTCGCTTAGTAGGTCCAAGATCATGGTAGGGACCAAGAACAAAAAACTAAGTAAAGTTGAAACTGTGATTAAAAATCTTCCAAAAAACAAAAGCCCAGGACCAGATGGCTTCACAGGCGAATTCTATCAAACATTTAGAGAAGAGCTAACACCTATCCTTCTCAAACTCTTCCAAAATATAGCAGAGGGAGGAACACTCCCAAATTCCTTCTACGAGGCCACCATCACCTTGATACCAAAACCAGACAAGGATGTCAAAAAGAAAGAAAACTACAGGCCAATATCACTGATGAACATAGATGCAAAAATCCTCAACAAAGTACTAGCAAACAGAGTCCAACAGCACATTAAAAGGATCATACACCATGATCAAGTGGGGTTTATTCTAGGAATGCAAGGATTCTTCAATATACGCAAATCTATCAATGTGATAAACCATATTAACAAATTGAAGGAGAAAAACCATATGATCATCTCAATAGATGCAGAGAAAGCTTTTGACAAAATTCAACACCCATTTATGATAAAAACCCTGCAGAAAGTAGGCATAGACGGAACTTTCCTCAACATAATAAAGGCCATATATGACAAGCCCACAGCCAACATCATTCTCAATGGTGAAAAACTGAAAGCATTTCCACTAAGATCAGGAACAAGATAAGGTTGCCCACTCTCACCACTCTTATTCAACATAGTTTTGGAAGTTTTAGCCACAGCAATCAGAGAAGAAAAGGAAATAAAAGGAATCCAAATCGGAAAAGAAGAAGTAAAGCTGTCACTGTTTGCAGATGACATGATACTATACATAGAGAATCCTAAAGATGCTACCAGAAAACTACTAGAGCTAATCAATGAATTTGGTAAAGTAGCAGGATACAAACTTAATGCACAGAAATCCCTGGCATTCCTATACACTAGTGATGAAAAATCTGAAAGTGAAATCAAGAAAACACTCCCATTTACCACTGCAACAAAAAGAATAAAATATCTAGGAATAAACCTACCTAAGGAGACAAAAGACCTGTATGCAGAAAATTATAAGACACTGATGAAAGAAATGAAATATGATACAAATAGATGGAGAGATATACCATGTTCTTGGATTGGAAGAATCAACATTGTGAAAATGACTCTACTACCCAAAGGAATCTATAGATTCAATGCAATCCCTATCAAACTACCACTGGCATTTTTCACAGAACTAGAACAAAAAATTTCACAATTTGTATGGAAACATAAAAGACCCCGAACAGCCAAAGCAATCTTGAGAACGAAAAACGGAGCTGGAGGAATCAGGCTCCCTGACTTCAGACTATACTACAAAGCTACAGTAATCAAGACAGTATGGTACTGGCACAAAAACAGAAAGATAGATCAATGGAACAGGATAGAAAGCCCAGAGATAAACCAACACACATATGGTCACCTTATCTTTGATAAAGGAGGCATGAATGTACAGTGGAGAAAGGACAGCCTTTTCAATAAGTGGTGCTAGGAAAACTGGACAGGTACATGTAAAAGTATGAGATTAGATCACTCCCTAACACCATACACAAAAATAAGCTCAAAATGGATTAAAGACCTAAATGTAAGGCCAGAAACTATCAAACTCTTAGAGGAAAACATAGGCAGAACACTCTATGACATAAATCACAGAAAGATCCTTTTTGACCCACCTCCTAGAGAAATGGAAATAAAAACAAAAATAAACAAATGGGACCTAATGAAACTTCAAAGCTTTTGCACAGCAAAGGAAACCATAAACAAGACCAAAAGACAACCCTCAGAATGGGAGAAAATATTTGCAAATGAAGCAACTGACAAAGGATTAATTTCCAAAATTTACAAGCAGCTCATGCAGCTCAATAACAAAAAAACAAACAACCCAATCCAAAAATGGGCAGAAGACCTAAATAGACATTTCTCCAAAGAAGATATACAGACTGCCAACAAACCCATGAAACAATGCTCAACATTAATCATTAGAGAAATGCAAATCAAAACTACAATGAGATATCATCTCACACCGGTCAGAATGGCCATCATCAAAACATCTAGAGGACTTCCCTGGTGGCGCAGTGGATAGGACTCTGCGCTCCCAATGCAGGGGGCCTGGGTTCTATCCCTGGACAGGGAACTAGATTCCACATGCATGATGCAACTAGGGAGCTTGCGTGCCACAACTAATGAGCCCACGTGCTGCAGCTAAGGAGCCCTGGAGCCACAACTAAGGAGCCCGTCTGCCACAACTAAGACCTAGTGCAACCAAATAAATAAATAAATATATTTAAAGAAAAAAACATCTAGAAACAATAAATGCTGGAGAGGGTGTGGAGAAAAGGGAACACTCTTGCACTGCTGGTGGGAATGTGAATTGGTTCAGCCACTATGGAGAACAGTATGGAGGTTCCTTAAAAAACTACAAATAGAACTACCATATGACCCAGCAATCCCACTACTGGGCATATACCCTGAGAAAACCAAAATTCAAAAAGAGTCACGTACCAAAATGTTCATTGCAGCTCTATTTACAATAGCCCGGAGATGGAAACAACTTAAGTGCCCATCATCGGATGAATGGCTAAAGAAGATGTGGCACATATATACAATGGAATATTACTCAGCTATGAAAAGAAACGAAATTGAGCTATTTGTAATGAGGTGGATAGATCTAGAGTCTGTCATACAGAGTGAAGTAAGTCAGAAAGAGAAAGACAAATACCGTATGCTAACACATATATATGGAATTTAAGAAAAAAAAATGTCATGAAGAACCTAGGGGTAAGACAGGAATAAAGACATAGACCTACTGGAGAATGGACTTGGGGATATGGGGAGGGGGAAGGGTGAGCTGTGACGAAGCGAGAGAGAGGCATGGACATATATACACTAACAAACGTAAGGTAGATAGCTAGTGGGAAGCAGCTGCATAGCACAGGGATATCAGCTCAGTGCTTTGTGACCGCCTGGAGGGGTGGGAGGGAAGGAGACACAAGAGGGAAGAGATATGGGAACATATGTATACGTATAACTGATTCACTTTGTTATAAAGCAGAAAGTAACACACCATTGTAAAGCAATTATATCCCAATAAAGATGTTAAAAAAAAAAAAAAAGATAAGTATACCAGGATGTCAAATTAGTCAACAGACTTGTTTAGAATTTCTGCTCTTTTCTCCAGGTACTATGCTAGGCATTAGCAAAGATGAATTAAATCTCAAGAAACTGAAAAGCTAGTAGTATATGTCAATTAATAGAACAGGGATTAAATATGGGAAAGAGAGAAGGGGGCTGGAATAGTTGGGAAAGCCTTCCTAGAGGGACACAATTTGAGCTCTGCCCCTAGGATGAGTAATTTGGGTAATGTGAAAGGAAAGGAAAAGCATTCCAGATAAAAATGATTTCAGTGGTATTCTAGTTTAGTTTATTTAGTTGATAGGTATTTTTACTTTAACAAGCATAGACGAAAATTAATAAATTTCATAATCTTCAATTTTACCTGCAGAGATCAGGGTAGAATGACTCAAAGAAACTGGCATCTGCTTAAGAATTTGGATTACACTTTAATGGGTTTGTTAATCAAAAGTTACTCAGGATCTTGTTTTCTAAATTCTATCTTCCTTACTGCCCACTGGCATTCTAGTTTTGGCACCAGGGTTGCATCCCACTGGCATGTCGTGGTGCCATCTGAATTTTTTTTTTAATATTGCTGGAAATGTATCCTAGTAATCATTCTCAGACTACTTTGATGATTTTGTTAGAAGTGGAATAAGCATGTTAGTTAAACAAACTGACTAGAATCGTAACTATGTAACTTCCTCTTATTTAAAGGTGATGCTGTGGAACCTTCAGAAAGCCCGGCCACTCTGGATTACAAATTTGCAGGAGGATGATACAGAAGAAATGGAAGACCCACAATCACCTGGTCAGCTTCTAAACCCTGCCCTAGCCCACTCTGTGTCTGTGGCATCATGTGGCAATATTTTTAGTTGTGGTGCAGAAGATGGTAAGATTCGAATCTTTAGGGTGATGGGAGTCAAGTGTGAACAGGAACTGGGATTTAAGGGCCACACCTTAGGGGTATCCCATGTCTGCTTTCTGCCAGAATCCTATTTGCTGCTTACTGGAGGGAATGATGGGAAGATAATGTTGTGGGATGTAAGCAGTGAAGTTGAGAAAAAACAGAAGAGTCCTATAAAACATACCCACAAGAAGAAAACCAAAAGGGCAGCTTATACCAAGCAGGGTGGAAACACTCATGCTTCAGCAGCAGGTGAAGACGAACATGGCAAAATTTTACCAAAGTTAAGTATTGAACATGGAGAAAAAGTGAACTGGCTCTTGAGTACAAAAATAAAGGGATACCAAAATATATTGGTAGCTGATCAAACTAATTGTATATCTGTATATCCTTTAAAAGAATTTTAAATCCAATAAAACATTTGAAAAACTGCAGAACTTTTTATGGGTTAAAAAAAATCCTGATTCTTTGTTTGGACTATTTGTCATATGTGGAAATAATACCATTCCATCATATAAATTTTAAAACATTTGAGCAAAAGGAGATAATTGGGTAACACTTGTTATAGTAAATGACATATTAAAATTTGGAGAATGAGAAATAATATTCACTGAGTACTGATTGTGTACCAGCCATTTTACATGTTTCCTTTCTTATTCCAAATCAGTGAAGTGGGTTACTTTGTTCATTTTTTGCCACAGGAATCAAGACTCAGAGATGTTAAGTAACCTGAGGATCCAAGAAAATTGCAGGCACGATTACTTACCTGCAAAGGATCTTCATTGTCTTGTCAAGCCTCCTGCCATAGGGAAGCCCACATCCTGATCCAAATATGGTCACCACATTAGTTATAACATTAGTAGTTTCTGATCCTAGGATGTCATGAGGAACTTTACCAAGTTGAAAGAGGAAACCTGTTCTTGCTTGTTCTATGTAAAGCCCAGAAGGCTTTGCTGACAATCACCTTTTGCCATTTCTAAGAAAAGTGTTCCAGGTCAAATCAGTTTAGGATATTACGAAGCAATCCAGGCTGTGGTGCTGATGGGACCAAGAATAAGCTGAAGTTATGAATAAGCAGAAACTGACTAAGCAGAAGATGTAAGGTAGATAGAAGAGGTAGAGAAGAGAAGCCAAGACTGTGTAGAGAGTAAGTTTTCTTTTCATCGTGCCCTGGATTGCTGATTTCTCTGCATGTTCTTTCAGCTTCTGCTTAAATTGCCTACTCTCATATTCAAAGGTTTAAAGAGAGATTCTGATTGTTGGTTACCATTATCCTTGTTTGTGGAGAACTCTTTGATAAGCTCAATTTTAGTCAGAATGTTTGCTGCAGATGACAGAAACCAAACTCAAATTGACTTAAGGGAATAAAAAGGAATTTATTGGCTCATGTAACTGAGAAGTCCAAGGATAATCAGGCTTGTACTGCTGAGGTAGCTAAGCTGAAAGGATGTGAGTCTTATAGGTGCCTCACCTGTGAAAAGTCTTTCCTAGGGATGGAGTGAGAGAATCCTCACAGTAATGTTGAGCCTGGAACCAGCCATGCCTGAAACAAGTTATTTCTGGAGCCTTTTTTTTTAACTTGTGACTAAAAGTGTCCTGACCAATTAAGTGGGTGGTCAGTAAATATTGTTTAGTGATCTCACTTAAAATTTAAAGCAAGGAGAATACCATCTTGGCCCTAAAAAATTCATTGACAAGGACCTTGGCCTGAGTATTGACAGAAACAAGTTTCTAATCCCAGCAATGGGCAAAGTTCTTGGCCATTCTGGGCCTTGATCTCCTTTCTTGAAAGCGAAGGGTTGAATTAGACATCCCCTAAGGTCCTTTCCATGCCACTGTTTTATGAAATGAAAACATTGTCATAATACTGTGTTTATCCAGTGATTCTAATATTTATTAAAATGTCAGTAAAGACTCATTATCATGGGCAATCGCTGGAGATTTAGAGGAATCTTTTGAAAAATTACCCAAGTACAGCATCATCTTAGCTATTGAGCCTGAATAATGTTATGGGAACAAGGTAAGAAGTATTTAAACCAGGATTGATTTTTTTTTTTAATTGAAGTATAGTTGATTTAGTGTTGTGCTAGTCTCTGCTGTACAGCAAAGTGACTCAGTTATACACATACATACATTTTTTTATATTCTTTTCCATTATGGTTTATCACAGGATATTGAGTATAGTTTCCTGTGCTACACAGTAGGACCTTATTGTTTATCCATGCTAAATGTAATAGTTTGCAACCCTAAACTCCCAGTCCTTCCCTCTCCCTCCCCCTAACCAGGATTGAAACATTAGTTTTAAACTTCTTTTTGTTGCTAATAACAGATACCCACTCAGACTGCCTAAGCAAAAAGGGAAATTTACTATGGGGAGTGGAGGAGCAGAATTCTCTCAACCCAGAACAGAAATGTCGCTTGGCTCTACGTTTCTAACCAGGGAAATCTCTAACCAGGGAAGCCATCAAAAACCAGAGCAGCTACCCTTTCTGTCTCTCTCAGTTCCTGTGGTCACGTGTCTCTGCTTCTTTCTGCATAGTGGCTTTCACCTGACAAAAGATGGCCTTCCAGGGCTACATCAGCAACCCATTTCAATTCCAGAAACTGAGTAGTGTCTAAGTTCCAGGGCCCTGAAGAGAATCTGATTGGTCTAACTTCGTCAAGTGCCTAGCTCTGATCCAGTCAGCTCTGATCAGGGGGGTGTTGTCATTTAGTATCAACATTGCCAATGGGGCCCCCATAGGTGGGGAGATAGTTCTCAGGGAAGGGGAGTATGGGCTGAACTAATAGTCCCCGAAGATCTACAACCAACAATTGAGATTTTGGCAGATTTACAGTGTGAAAATTATATGCAAAATGAACCCTTCTTGGGTCAGCCATTTTACTACAGTTTGACTTTCAATTTTCAAACAATAAGATACACCCAGATTACTTTAGTTAATGAGAGTTTGAAGAATGGTAAAGTAAGCAAAATAAAGTGCCTCAGCCTGGGCTTACAGAGAATTTTGGTTTTGGGGTTTTTTTTGGGGGGGGGGTGTTTGTTTTTTACCACACCATGCAGCATGCAGGATCTTAGTTCCCTGGCCAGGGATTGAACCTGCACCCCCTGCAGTGGAAGCACAGAGTCTTAACCAGTGGACTGCCAGGGAACTCCCAGGATACTATTTTGAATATTCTTAGCTCGATTAGTCAGCTGGCCCCTCAGATAACTGAGTAAGAACTTAAGTGGCCTCGCTTTAGAAGTGGGCATCCAATGTCCCCAATCTATAGAAGGCTGAAAATGTGCCCCAAAGATTCAGGTTCTAATCCCTGGAACCTGTAAATGTTACTTTATTTGGTAAAAGGATCTTTGTAGATATAAGTTACAAATAGTAAAGGATTATGTTAAAGGAACATAATTGTATACTTACCTTTATACTTTATTAGAGTGTAAGATGCTTGGGGGCAAGGATCTGCCTTTTGAGTTTCAGAGCTTGTGGTTTGGCCTGACCTGAACCACCCAGCTCACACAAAAAAAATCATTAAACCTTAGATGAATCAAGGGAGGTCCAGAAGGTGAAAATGTGATAGATGTGGATAGAACAAAATAACAATAAAGGTCAACCTGAAGGGAGCTAGTAGCAGTGTTGCCTGGCAACCAGATTGAACCCTTTCTTTGTTATGCTTCAGGTTATTTTTAACACCAGCTATCAGGACTAAACATGGCTCTCCCAACCAGTGCTCAATTCACAAACACCCAGACATGCTCATCATTTCACATTTGATGTTCTCTCCAAATTACAATCAGTTGTGGTCCAGGATAGACAATCCTGAGGCTGATGCAGTGCCCACCCAGTTACTTCTCCCTTCCAAGAGCAGAAATACCTTCAGGATTAATCAATCACCCTCTGGCAGAATTATGTATAATCCTGATGCCTTAGCCTATGAATAGCTCTCCCATGACCTCAGTTTTCCTATTTACAAGCAAAGAATTAATGAAAAACAGAGTACTATACTGCACATGTGCTGTGTGTGTGTATTTGGTTTTCTGAACTATTTGAAAGTGAGGTACCATGACACTTGACCTCAAAATACATCAGCATGCATCTCCTAAAAAGGATACTTTTATATATAACCATAGTACTGATCTCATACCCAAGAAACTTAGCAATAATTCACATTCTTGCCCTTAGCTAGCCAATTGTGACTAATATCATCCTTACTGCACTAAAGTCTGGTGGTGAGAGAGGGTGGCAGCCAGAACTTCAGAAGATGGGTCCCTCAGCCATGGGCAGGGCTTATGGAAATGAGAGGGAACAAGAAGGACCTTGTGGCTTAGTCTGGGGTCTGAACAGAGATAGGTGTCCCTTGTAGCCAACCCTCTTCCCGTGGCACATCCCCAGTGGGGAACACTGCCCCTTCCTCTGGGCTAAGGTTCATTTTAGAGACTAAGTTTTCAGGCAAAAGGGACATTGTTGAAGAGTGAGGACATGAGTCTCAACTGGAGTGAACAAAATACCCTATCACCACAACCACCTGGGCCATACTCCAACTAGAGGAACAGGATTTAATCTAGGCCCAGTAGAGGACATGGGAGAAATTCAGAACAACCCTCATATACCTGGAGAGAGCCCCTGCCATACCCTCGTATCCTTGGTGGAGGAAAGGACTGGGCTGGGGTTTAATAGAGCCTCCATCAGGTCGTCTTCTCTATAGCCATAAAAAACGCTTGAGGAGAGTGACCCAAAGTTCACTTGAGCATGATTTTCCTATAATCATTCTAGGCAATGAATGAAGAAGCAACCAGAGCATGCAGTGATCAAGTATCAATAAAAACAATTCTTATTGGGACTTCCCTGGTGGCACAGTGGTTAAGAATCTGCCTGCCAATTCAGGGGACATGGGTTCAATCCCTCGTACGGGAAGATCCCACACGCTGCAGAGCAACTAAGCACATGCACCACAACTACTGAGCCTGCACTCTAGAGCCCAAGAACCACAACTACTGAGCCCATGCACAACTACTGAGCCCACGTGTTGCAACTACTGAAGCCAATGTTCTCTAGGGTCTGTGTGCCGCAACTACTGAGCCCACATGCTACAACTCCTGAAGCCCACACCCGCAACAAGAGAAGCCACCGCAATGAGAAGCCCGCGCAATGTAACGAAGAGTAGCCCCCACTTGCCACAACTAGAGAGCCTGCGTGCAGCAACAAAGACCGAACGTAGCCAAAAAACAAAACCCAAAAAACCCCCAATTCTTACTGACTTATAAATGTTGACACAACAGATCACAAATAGGTAGCAACCTGAAAATTGAATGCATTTTTCTGTTATGAACAAGATGGTTAAACATGTTACAAACCAATGTGTGGCTAGATAAATGCAAATGTTAATATTTTATTAAAAATTAAGATATAAAAGTCTCAACTAAAAGACTGTTGATTCTACTCAATAAAATCAGTAAAGTTGAAGTGTATAAAATGAATACACAGAAATGAGTTGCTTTTCTATACACCAATAGTGAAACATCTGAAAAGGAATAAAACTATCCCATTCACAATAGGATCAAAACAATAAAATGGGGCTTCCCTGGTGGCGCAGTGGTTGAGAGT